AAATTACTCCGGGCTTCACTATTTTTTTTAGTGGCGTGGCGTGTTTTGCGATGTGGCGATCTAAATGTCATTTAAAAATTTTGGAAAGGATCGCTAAACAGGGTGCTCGCAACGAAAAACGCCTCAGGATGACTAGTGCGTGACTGGTTGCAGTGGCGTGGTGTGAATTGCGATGTATCGATTGTTGTGCCATTTAAACCTATGGTAAAGAATCGATTATTAAGGTGTTCACTGCGAACACCTTGTTTATCGACCCTTTTCCATAGGTTTAAATGGCCGATCAATCGATAAATCGCAAAACACGCCACGCCACTGACTGGTTGAATATAATCGGAGGATCAATCGAGGCTCATTTTGATACATGACCATTTAGTTCAGTGATTATCAACCGATGAGCCGAAAAATGCGGGGGACCTCTAGGGTGGAGCGAAAAACACTTTTTTCGAAATCGCTTGACGGCAATATCAGAAAAGTTGCCTCTCGTAATATCACGCATGCACCCGTGTTTTTTTCTTTTTCCGAAATTCTAACTCTCCGGTGGCACAGTCCACCTGAAGTTTCGATTCTTGTTGTACCGAAATAAATTTCAAGAATCAGGCTGCTGATAGGATCTGCTAGCTGAAGAGGTTAAGAACCACTGATTAGAAAGTTAGGTACGTAAAATAATGTGCAACGCTGTTCAATGGTTGTAACGTAAACAGGCATAGATCACCCTTGTTGTTCTTACCTCCACCAGGATGGCCACATGTTTAAGGCCACGTGTTTTTTTTTTATATCGAAACTCGTGTTTGATGAGCCCTCAATCAATGTCTGCTTCATTAATGGCAAAATCGTAATGAACCAACATACAAATAGTTTAGACGGGATATTTTGCATTTTTATACCATCGGAACCGTCGAAAACCGATATTTCGAATATCGCAAGAATGAGCCAATAAATCAAATTGCTCCGCGTTTCATGAAACACTCGTTAGTCACCGTTGTTGTGCGGCACACTTTGTGCCGTGTCAAAAATATTTGTCTTTGGTGTCTCTCTTTTTGCACTGAATGGATTTCAAGCACGATATTTTTTTGCGTGTTATGAACACGGTGATTTTTCGAGAATAGGAATGGCCGTTTCGCCAGGAATCACGAACGACTCCTGGCGCAAAAAATGGATACCAGAGGTGAGACATTGGAAGCAGGAATTTCCTTGAGTTTCTTCAAGAAAAAACATGGAAAATCGTCATTATGTAAAATAAAAATGTAAGTCTCTAAAGACCGAAAATTTCCGCTCGCCAATTACCAACTCCGAGTTTGAAGCGAGGGAATTGCGACATTAAGTTAGTAATGATAATTTATCTTCAGTCTTCAAGTCTTCAAGCGATTAAAAAAAGCCACATTTGCCATTAATCTCACGAAAAAATGATTTTATGTACTGATTCAATTTAATTACACCAAAAATTTGTTCACCAAAAATTAAAAGTCTTAATTCAATAAAGTATACACAGGAAAAAAATGAATCTTAAATTTGCCACCAAGAGATATTTTCTTGTATCAAGCATTGGACTGCTACCTACACTATTACCAACTACGGATAAACTACTTACTACCACTACTAAACTACTGCTTATCACTACTTATAAACTCCTATTTTGCTTGACCTAAAGCATTTTTTTCTTGTATCAAGCAAAATTCAGCCTCAAAAAGATGAAAAAAATTCTTGGCGGCAAATGCAAGAATAATCATGCTGGAGTCAAGCAATTTTTTTTTTCAGTTTAGGCGAATTGAGATATTTTAAGCCGAAATATAGGTAGTGGTGGCCAGATTATATGACTGTCACTAAAAGGGAAACCCGTATCATTTTCCTACTTTCAGCCTCCCAGAATCCTAGAAATTACACGGTTCGAACTTACTTGTAAAGAAAAGGGCTGAAAAAAGGTGATGTTTTCGGAAGAGCGTGTATGAGATAAACAAAACCAGGATCATTGTTACTTTTAAAGTGGAATAAAATCCGTTCCAAGTCACAAACTTCAATTTCAATGACTTTTTCGCCTCTTTGGAGGACTCTTCTCTCATTGGTCAGCTCCAATTGGGAATTGTTCGGTCTTTCTTTGACGTTGATTGACAATTTTTGACAGCTCATTTTATCTGATGAATTAAAGAGACATAAATAAATCAGTGAGTTCTAAAACACACCAACTCCGATTTTTTTCGATTTTCACTTTTTTACAGTTTAGTAACACTTATGGATAGAAGCATCTGCACGCAAAAGGAAATTTCGAAATTGCAATCGGAAGTGCTCGAAACAGTGACGGGAAAAGGGAAAAATCGAAGTATTCCATTGAAAATACCAATTATTGGCCATTTCAAGGGAAACGGGTGACCATCCGATTTTGCGGTTTTCTTTTTTCGGTTCAGTATACCTTGTACCAACAAGTTATATAAATATTCAAGCGTTATTCAGGTCAAAAAATATAAATTTTTCAGGGCAGACTATAAAAAATCAGTATCTGAAAGTCGGTGAGAACGAATACACACCAACTCGGAAATTTTTAAACGGTTAATTCTCTGTCATCAAACATGGTGTATCGATTTTAACTTGATGCTTTACAAAGTCTCTTCTCTAAGTACTTGTCCTTTGGCACCGAAATGGTTTATTTCTGCAACTAACTTCTTCGCCCGTTGCGCAGTTTTAGGTGTTTCCTGAACAATTTTTTTTCCAAATTGGTGTGTTTTCAAACTCACTGATTCAAATGTATTAATGGGGAAAGACACTCAAAAACGATGACCTCTGGACAAGGTGTGAATTAAAACACTCCGCAACATATTTTCTCTTCGGCGGCGTGACTTCCAAATCATGTATCTCGTTAGGGGTGTCTTAAAATCGCCACTTCTACTTCATGTTTTCAAAGGAGAACAAGTTATCATTATTCCTTTCGGTTTTTTTTTTAGAATTTTCTTCGTACAAAGAAGATAAATCATTGAGGTTTTTAAGCATTGACGTTGAGTCGTTATACTTTTAAAACAATAAAATATAACAGGAAATCAGCAACGTCGCACACCGAGATACGTAGTTTGGGAGTTTCATGGGGATATGGAATCCTTTTCCTTATACGCATCGATGGAATGAAAAATGAGTACGATTTCGATCAAAAGTAGCTTTGAAAAGCATTTCAAAGAAATGTAAAATTTCTCAGAACATTTGTTTCCCTTTTGGTTTCCAAAGATATTCGAAGCACTCCCAACAATATTCATGTCTCCTTATCCTATCTTCATCTTCACGGGGAGAGACGACAAATTGGACTGTATTTTGCAATTTGGACCTATAAATTCTGGCTCATCTGAAAAAACACTTATGTGCATAGGGAAACTAATGGTAGATACGTTGTTTTTTAACCGGGCCGGAATTTATAAGTCCAAATTGCAAAATGCAGTCCAATTCAACACCTTAAAATGAGTATTTTAATTCAGAATGTCACTCACCTTGCTGTTTCACGTGACGCTTTTGGCGGCGAAAGTATTAAACGTACGTGGACCCTCCCTTGAAGAGCGACCAAGTCCTAGTGAGAGGCAGGTACACAGGAGGACTTGTTGGTTCTGTTGCCAAGGTGTTCCAACAGACAAATCCGCTCACTTCCCCGATGAGCAAACTGTTTCTCACGTATGATTCAGTAGCGTGGCGTGAATTGCGATAGATCGATTTTTATGCCGTTTAAACCTATGGGAAAGGATCGATTAACAGGGTGTTCGCAGCGAACATCTTCATAATCGATTCTTTACCACTGCTACAAATGAGGGAATATCGATTATCGATCATGCGCGCCAGGCCACTGGTATGATTCCAATAGTTTTCATGCGTTTTTCTCCTCATTTCTTTGCGTTGTAAAAAGAAAATGATTTAAATGATTGACATAATGCGTGAGGAAGATGTTTATTTGTTTGCGAGATTGCCCAATTCGTCGAGGGTTTCTTGCATCCCTCCCTGTCAAACTCATTTGCTAGTAACTCCGAGGACGGTGTTTGCAAACGCGGCAATTTCGAAAATGCGTTTTATAAAATACGCCAAAAAATATTTGTGCATTAAACTGTGGATTTTGCAGGGCATTTTTCTTTCATTTCATTTCTTCCGTCGCCGTTCGACCTGCTTTCGTGCGATTTTACGCACGAAAAGTTTACAAAGTTGACTACATGTATCTCTTATTGTAAGCATGACACCAATTTTTTCTAAGACTGTTTTAAAATATTTACTTGATGCATGAAAAAGCACTGCTTATTCAATTTGTCTTTTATAGATTCATAAACATCCCCTAAAAAACTCATGTAAGGATCCCTAACATTATTGAATAGTCAAAGAGAATTTGCAGGTGTCTGAAATTTGATAAATTTCGTGTTTAAGTGGAAACAACTGAGTGAACTGAACAGGAGGATACCCTTGGTTCATGAATTGAACAATTATTGGAGAAGATATGACAAAATGATCTATTACGGTATAATATCAGTGGCGTGGCGTGAATTGCGATGTATCGATTGTTGTGCCATTTAAACCTACGGTAAAGAATCGAATATTAAGTTGTTCGCTGCGAACACCCTGTTTATCGATCCTTTTTCATAGGTTTAAATGGCATTACAATCGATATATCATCGCAGTTCACGCCACGCAACTATATATAATATATGTGTTTAAATGAGAAATGCTGCCAGATAATGTCACTGGGCCGTGCATTTTCTCACTTGCAAATATATTTTTATACTATTTCCCATATCAGAAAAAAATTACAAAAAATACTGCGAAATCAGCTCTTCAAGCACTTTCAGATGAAGCAATAAAAAATTTGCATGCAAATTCTCCATTGCCATTTTACTCTTCTTGATCGTAAAGTAATTGAATACTCCCAGTCTCAAAAAGGTCTAAAAAAATGTTGACTGAGGGAAATATAAACCTGGTGCAGATGCAATAACATTTCTATCAAGACAAATAAATACAAATAATAATTGCATTTTTTTTATATATATGTACTTGACAGTGCTAGCTATAAATATCATTCGTTCAATAATAATACGCATAAATAAGAAAAAAAAATCGATGATAAAGGTTATACGGCGTCGTTCCATAAAAATTACTGCATACAGTTGCATAAATTGTCAAGTGGCACACAGGTGGCATACGTTCAAATTCATAATTGAGAGACGCAATCATCCTCGTGCGTATTCTCTCATCGTTGTCAGTGATGAGTAAAAAACAAATAATGAAAAAAAAAATGAGCAAACAAGTGTTCACTACTATTTAAAGAGAAGCACATACACATATATAACTTTATGCAAACGGAGCCAAAAAATCATTTGACACTTAATGTCCTAGATTACTATACTCAGCTTGATCCATGGCTGGTTCAGTCACCTTTCCCTTTATTATGTCAGCAGACGCCTAAAAGTATACGTTTTAATTGTACTATGTATCGAATTGGCTGTTTAATAATATTTTTTTCATGCCTGGCGCATGTGATACTGAGTGTTCACTCAACGGAACCTGTATTGACGGTAAGTTTCTCATGTCAGTTTTCAGCTTTGTGGCTCCATGTGCAGAGCTAAAGAAGTAGAGAAGAAGTAGAAGGTGATCAGTGAAAATGTCCAGTCTAAAATGTCCAATAAATAATACCCACTGTCGTAATGTCCTCTTTTTAATGTCCATGACATAAAATGTTCACTGAGCAAAACTACCCATGTTATCTAATGTCCAAAGTAGTAAAATGGCCTGTAACTGCAAATGTCCAAATCCAGGTGCTGTAATGTCCAAAGTAATAAAATGGCTGTCACGTTTTAAGGTTCTTCAAATTAATGGGTTTTATTACATTCCCTATGCCTTTTACCTCAAAACTAAATAGTAGCTTGGGTCCTTGACATGTTTTGGGAGGGTCCAAGCAGAGTTGTGGGGAGGGCTGGGCCCCCTCCCCACCGGCCCACCTATTTCCACCCAGGGTTGTACCTCTACTGATATGATCTCAGACGATCTATTCCTACAGGTCATGCGAGCTTCAAAAACCGCAATTGTTCTAATTTCCGTTATGATTGTATGTTCCTTATTTTTTAATTCCAATTCATTCACTTATGATTTCAATTTTAGTTTGAACTGAGGCAGTTTTATGAGTTTATGGTCACGTTCGGGAGATCCTATAAAAATGCAGCTGAGCAAGCGACACGGTTTGATATTTTCAGAGGTAATTTGAAAATCATTGAGAAGTTAAATAACGATGTCTATGACAACGCGACTTATGGAATCACGAAGTTTGCTGATTTAACTGGTGAGTATAGATGAATAAAAAAGTGATTCATAGGTACACTCGTATGAATACTCAACGCCCAGAGGGCGCTTCGCGCTTTCTTAGGCCCGCGCCAACGAAAGAATGACCCCAAAAAATTAAAAAGTAATCATGCCCGACTCTCATTTGCCCAATCTCCTTTTTGCCAGGAGCGATTATACCAGTAAATCGAATGAACTATTTTCAAAATCTGATTAAGAGAAATGGTGCTGGGTCCACACCATTTCGCGGGGAAATCAACGTCAAGAAGTTCCAAAAAGTATAATTATTTCATCCATTTCTCCACCTTGTTAATACAGTATTCGGGCCACTTCTTAGTGTTTTTTCCTCATCTAGGGACTATCACCTGTCGATAACCGCAAAAATCGTGGAAATCGGCCTAGTAGAACGCTCGAACGAACTATGACAAAAAAATAAACAAAATTGCATTGTGTATATAGCCCAAAACATTTTTTTCTTCAATACACAGCACAGTTTCGTTTTGTTGTCATTTAAGCCTCCAATAATTTGAAAAAATTTCAAAATCCTCACTCATGCACATCAACTGTGCAAGAGTGTTTCTTTCATCGCATAACATTCAAGTTCAGGTTTTTGAAAGAGTGCTTGATAATTCGGATGGAATTTTAGTCCATGAACTTATTCAGGCGTGCCATTGCAACCGCTAATGTAATGACAGGAAGATACCAATGATAGGAGGGGCACCTCCGAATCTTCCGAAAAATTTATGAAATCTTATCTAAAAGTACTTACAAAGAGGTCATATTTCCAATATGAGGGGGAGGGGGGATTTCCCCCTGAATTCAGTAGCGAGAGAAAATATGAGAAAATGTCCGCAGACTAAAATCCCTCCCCTTTTAGACCATCATTTATTTTTGTCCATATGCAAAAACTTGACATTCAGACAGATCTTATTCATTCATACTGATTTACAAGATTCAACTACCAAATGAGAGTTCGTGACGCGCAGAATACTAAATATTGACCTTTAATCTTATTTATTTCAGCTGATGAGTTCAAGCGAAAGATGCTGCACTTCAACGACACTCCACCCGGGATTTCCCTGAAATCTCCAAAAATAATTTCGGGCAGGCCCAAAATCTTTCCATCGCGTATTCGACGCGATATGAGCAGCTTCTCATGGACGCAAAACCCTTACTACCCTCCTCCATACGATCAAGTTTGTTATTTTGTTTGTTTCTTTTAGAATTTAATGGACTACTAGACAAGGGACGAATTTAAGCATTCTGGTACATGCTCGTCAACCAGAATTTCACGTAGAGCATGATTCTAACATTTAAAATTACTGCCATTAACTCCTAACTGAGATATTAGAGTTTTTGTTTTACATTGGTTACGGGAGATTTGAGTTGCCCGATCTTAAGTCTAAAAACACAGTTTGAGACAAAATAATTTTAAATATATAATAAAAAGTAAATATTTTTTCCCAGGGCCATTTTTGGCTGCAGCGGCAAAAATTTTGTGGAGTTAACTCCAATTGTTGCCTGAGAAAAAATATTTTCCCTCCTTTCCGACGCAAAACAATCGGATTAGTATTACATGCGTTACATGCACGCTTTTTTGGTAGTGACCAGAGATCTAAAGTAAATATGGTCAACATGGGTTAAAATGTGATAAATTAGGGGTAGTTTTTAGCGCTGAGTCCGAAAATGACCTCCGTAATGCTGGGTCAGGTCGATTTTCCCCGGAAAAATCAGGATTTTCTTTAAAAATCGAGTTTTTCCGGTGAAAAATCAATTTTCCGGAAAATCTGTGCATGATGGAGAAAAGCTAAGGTCATTTGCGGATTCAGCATCTAAAATTACATGGGAAACCATGTATCGAATGCCTATTAAAGTTTCCATTCTGTTCCAAAAATCGAGGTTTTTCCGGACAAGTGCCCCTTTCCGCCCGTTTGTAAAGAGTGTATTTATATTGGATCGTTAAGGGAGGGGGGTTGGGAGGATGGGGGGCTTGAGATGGAAGGTGGGGTGCATTTTAGGTTATTTATTGCCTATTTATGAATAAATTTATCAATTAGAGCTCTCCGTGAGGCCTGAGAAGATTTGCAAAAATTGATGAAAAAATGCGAAAATTAGCCGAATTTTGCAATTTTAAGGGCCCGTCGGGACCTCTAAATGTTAACCGAATGCAAAACTGTTCTACAACGTGTGGTTTTACACTATTAGGAACGTTTTGGCGAGGTTCCTTGTCAATTTCAAAATTCATCATTTTTAATTTCTCGTATAAGCCGCACCCTAGGGCCCCACGTGAGGAACATTGTATGCCTTTTCTGATCTTGTGCAACGAGATTTTTGTAGAAGTTTACAGTTTTACCTGTGAAACGTCTTTTTGGTATACTGCGTCTTTTGTAAGTAACAGATCAATTATGTACATATATTAATTATGTTTCCTTGCATAGGGTGCATTTGATACATGCGGGCATATTGGGGGTGTAAGCGCCATGTCAATCATGTACTCGGCTCTGAAAAGAAAGAAGAGAAACCTTTCAATACAACGTAAGTGTCAATACTTAATTAATTGTTCTCACTCTCTTTCCCTCTTCATCTACAAATAGACAATTTCAGAATGATTTTCAGTGATGATTTCTCACAAAAGAATTCCGGCTCGTTCGAGGACAGCTTAAATTGTTTCAAAATAAATTATTTTCAAAATAACTGGACTCGTCCTCATCTTTTGGCGCTTTTGGTTGCCAGATGTGCCCTTCCAGCTGTTGGGACCCTCCTATGTAACGTGTACAATACTGCCGTACTAAGGAAGAACGCCGTATAAACCTTCAGGCGTTGGAAAATTTCCTTTGATGAGACACGAATTTCCCGGCAAACTTAAGAATATTTTTCTTCAAATTTTTCAGACAGTTTTGCTCGCAATTCCACCGAAATATCCTGAAAGTTTCCAGAAAGAATACTCATAACTTTGCTCAAAAATGAACATTTTATCAAAGGAAATTTGGCAACTCTCGAATGTTCATACGGCGTTCTTCCTTAGCACGGTAGAATAGTACACAGCAAGTTGCTTCATGGGTAATGACGCCGTCCTGGTATAGGCGCCAAAATTTGGATCTTTTTCATTTTTTGGTGGCTGCAGAAACTGGGGTAAAATGTTGAGCTTTTGATAAAAAACTTCTGCACGGACAGAGTACCTGGTTAAATTCCGCGTTTATGTGGGAAACGTTCTCCCCACACTACTTTTGAGACAGTTACTTGATCTTTTCATCCTCGTTCCGACAGTGACGTGCTGTTGGATTTTTTTCTGTGGCCGCCATTATCTTACCTCAAATTCCAAGGATATATATATATATACGTTAAATAAAATTAAATATATATATATATATATATATATATATTATAAGGCTTACACCAAAATGGGCTTTATCCCCCTCCTCCGCCACTCGTAAGACTCCCCAAGGCAAGGAAGGACCACTTCCACTAAGTAGCTCACGTAATATTTCGACGGGCCCATACGCAGTGAAAAAACTTCGGCTAAAATTACTAAATTGTTGGTGTTCCATTTGAGTTCTCAATCGGAGGTATCTACCATATCTATAAAAATTATTATATCTAAATACCATCGAGTAAAAATATCGCTCATGCAGTGGTAAAAACACCCTTTCAATGGTTTGACTATACTAGAAATGAACAACATGTTGCAATAAGGAACCACTATTTTTGGCTCATTTTAGAAACAGCATATATGCCATTGGCGTTCCTATGCAGGAAAGTGCTTTTATGGACGAGCCAGAGATAGCGGTTCTTTTTTGTATAATGCAATCCAAATCAAGAGTTCATATACAACCTCACTGATAAGGTAGTTGAAAGGATTTTTTCCTCTTTTTTTCTTCTTTTTTTATCATCATCAGTGCGTTCCATTGATTGAGTCTAATTTGTGTCTTATTTCTACCAGAAAATCGACGGCGTAGGTCCGCAATCACATATGTCGTTTGCGGTGTCTGAAAATCTCCGCCGCTATGTCATTTTCTTAAAGGAGAACAAATTGACATCGTTCCTTGAGGTTTTTGCAGAATTTTCTTTGCACAGAGAAGAAAAATCACGGCAGTTTTAAAGAATTGCCATTGAGTGGTTTTTCTTTTAAAAAATAAAGTATGACAGGAAGTACCTATACAATGTTGCAAAGCGAGTTATGTGATTGCCGACTTACATCATCGAAATGTTTCAATCCGTTAATTTTCGAGTCAAACTTTGTTACCTTTGTAGAGCTAATAGATTGTGATCGACATTGCCGCGACGCTGTGACTTATTCCATGCTGTTCCCGGCCATTCATGCCACTTATTTGGCGACGGAGAACGACTATCCCTACAGTGGAGGACCACGGGAATGCAATATGGCCGCTGCAGCCAAAGGCGTGGCGACCATCAGTAGCTGGAGCCTAGTTGAAGGCGAGAGAGAAATTTTGGATAAAATCCGATATGGCCCTCTTCCTGCCCATATTAACGGAGACAGAATACAAGTAAAATTGAAATTTTTCCTCCTTCATTTTAGAGCGCGCCATGCAGAGACGAGAGACCCTCCTTTAATATCTTGGTCATGGTCTTTGGCTTTTACTTTCGGGACTTCAGCATTCTACTGTTGACTTACCTACTACATGGTTGATGTTCAAAAACGTGTTGGCAGTTTCGATTTGCAAACAAGCCGAAAATGGCCGAAGTTTGGGAAACTTGTTTGGCTCATAACGTCGTCCGCAGCTTATCATCCGCCGTGTAGGTGAGTCAACAGCCGAAATTAGGGTGAAGACTGTTGTCCCCTTATAATTGCCCATAAGGAATGGAGATGTTGCATGTAAGGGGGATTTGCGATTTGACTATTGATTTTTATGTAAAAGTTCGCGAGAAACACGATGGTGCTACTGGTTTTCTCTGAAATCAAATCCCAAGCTCAAAAAAAGCTCTCAAGTTGAGGTCAAAATGGAGGGGATATCCCGCGGTATCTTGAGAGTTCACCTAAGCCAAGACAAACTCTCCATGCAAAGATAGGGAACAAATACATTGACAGGGCTGCCACTTTATTTGGGGACTCCAAAACTGAAAACATGGCAACCCTGCTAGTGTATTTGTTCCCTATCTTTGCATGGAGAGTTTGTCTTGATGTAGAGGTGGACTCTAAGGATAGCGTGGGATATCCCCTCCATTTTAGCCTCAACTTGAGAGCTTTTTTTTGAGCTTGGGAGTTGATTTCAGAGAAAACCAGTGGCACCATCGTATTTCTCGCGAACTTTTACTTTAGAATCAACGGTCAAATCGCAAATTCCTCACATATGCAACATCTCCGTTGTTGAATCCCCGAAAGCTTCCCCTGGTAAAAATTGGCAGTAATTAAGCAACAGCCAGGCGATAAAGTGTATGCTAAACGTTACTAATTACGGATGCTAGGACTTAGTGAGCTTTTGGACTACCAGTCTCTTTTTGGGCCGCAGGATCTTGATTTAATTTGCGAGGAAAGTTCCGTAGTTTTGAAGGATGCCTGCCATTCCTAATATGTTGGAGCGCCTTCAATGTCGTATAATACTGTGCAACAACTCGGTGTGAAATAGTTGTTTCAAGCGCCGCGGTACGCTGTGGCGCGCCGCGGCGGGCGGGCAGCCAACGCTGAACGCGCATTGGCGCCTACAAACCTAACAGGGATACTTCACGCATTGCGCAATGCGTGAAGTATCCCTGTTAGGTTTGTAGGCGCCAGTGCACCCCCGCTCCGCTTTGTGTTAGGCTCTAATATTTAAACTCGCGGAGTCAGCGTTTTTCAACTCATGGCTTTGAAATGTTTGCACACTCTGAATGGATTATTCTCATTTTAATTGATGAAAAAAAATATGTAGTAAAGGAAACTATAATGTGCGTTTTGTATATATTACGGTGATTCCGTAAAAACTTAAGGATTTACAAAGCACAAGAATCTCTACACAATTTCTTATAGCCCTTCATAGCCGATGGCGAAAAAGCAACAGCCAGGTGATAAAGTGTAAAGCCTAAGATAGGAACTATAGCCCGGCTGTATAATTTTTTATCGCTTCGTGTAGCCCGGCCGTAGGATTTTTTCCACTTTCTACAGCCAGCTATATGATTTTCTATCGCCCTCTTCAGTCGGCTATAAGAACTCCAATGGTATTTTGAAACGCAGCTCCTATCGCCAATTTTTACCAGGGTTCACCTGTCGCCAAGTGGCCGAGGGAGGGTCTCTTGTCTCTAGTGCCATGTTTCAATGTGAACTTCTTGCAACGGCTGGGCTGGATAGTTCTAATTCGATTGTGGTTCAATATGTCGTTTGGTTTAAAACAATGAAACATAACCTCAAACAAAAATTTTAGAATCTAAGTTAGAAAAGCCGAAAAAGATGAAATTCCTAACAATTTCATTTTTCATATCCATGCATGTAGTACTCATAAGAAACAAATCTCAATCACAAAATCCGGTTCCCATTGATTGATCGATCGACTTTTGAGGCTATGCTTACATTTTGAACCAATGTAAATAGATACTATCTGCGTTTGATGTATATCGAATACGGTCCGCTGCTCATTTCAATGATTTTTCGGAGCGGAACCGTTAATTTTTGGCATCGTGATAATTAAGACTGGAGAGCGTTCAGAGTTCAACCCAATCAATGCTTGCATAGGAGGAACCCATTATACGTCTTAATGCCCCGCCAAAGTTTTCTAATTTTGACGTAGCAGTAAATTTGCTTCGAGCAGATAGCTGTTTGAGAAATACTTTTGGTTACACCTGCAAGCAACGAAACCTCGTATGTTTTAGATGAGTGCACTCTCCAATGTTTTGTTACTTCGGCATATTTTGCAATGGACGGCTGCGCAATATGTATTATTTTCTCATTACACTATAAACATTTCTCACTATACATGACGCTGAGGAATCATCCGATCAAAAAATTGCTCCTCTGAAAAGTTTAAGCTCGTGTAACAAGTTTATTGATTTTCTTGCTTAAAAGGTCTTGTATGTTTATGTAACGCCGAATTTTTGAAGTTTTACAAGGCACATGAATGATCTGTGACGTTTTTCAGAAAAAGATTCTAGTTCCACAAAAGGACTCATGTCGAGCGGTCGTATGATCGTTAAATATATAAGCGTAAAGTAATTTTAAGGCAGCATAAATAATAATTTGAATGGACAATTTTTCAGAGCAGGATGTCAGTATTTATGATGAATCTTGTCAGGACGGTATAGTACACATTTTCTGAGATTTTCACGTAACGTATTGTTATGGAAATGGAAATCTGGCTATTCTTTGGCTTCTTAGACTGCTAGATATTACACATTACATGATTAGGTTTCTTCTCCGTACAGCCATATTATTCATTAAACTTTATATTCAATTTTGATTCGAGCAACATTGCATTGATGATTATTGATATATTAATTTTTACTTAAAACAGCATTACACAGGAGGAATCCTTCGGCATTGTCCTAACACTGGATCCAACCACGGTGCAACTATCGTAGGGTACGGAACTGGTGAGTGAAATAGATTTACCTGTATTCACCACGAATTCTCTGCAGGACGGCAAGCAGAAAACTGATACCAAAAATCAAGGCTTAATGAACCAATTGCTCCCAAAATTTCTCTCCGAAAAATTAGAACAGGAGAAAGAGAAGCACTGGCGAAAAAAGTCTTATGGACCTCGAGTCCAAAACATTGACAAGAAAAATCACGCTTTATATTTGCTTTAATCGAGCGCCAAGCTCCAAGCCTCTTAATTTAAGCGGATTTCCTTTTGATTCAAGAGGAAATCTGATTGAATAAAGAGTATTTATCTTGTCAAATGTTTTACCAGTCAGGACTCTGGATCCAAGAGACTTTTTTCGCCGAGGTTTTGAGATGGAAAATACACCTAGATTTTCTTTCTACCAGGAGAACAAAATATGATGTTTCTCATGATATCTTCCCTTTGCTAAGGGGCTGCCCCCCTAATCGCCTCGCAGTCCAGCCTCTCTAAGGGCCTCTTTCCTCAGACGTTATGCATTACGCGTTACTCTCATTATTTTATATCATACAGTAAGATTAGCTTTAGTATAATCCATCGATTTCCGATTCAGATTCTCTTATCTCATTTTAACCTGATGTGTCTAAATATATCCAATTATTCTAGATTTTATCCCCATGTATGTCGACGAGTAGGGAACAAAAATCAGCCTACATTAAACACAAACGCCAAACACACCAAACACAATAAACAGATGAGACGCGATAAGCGGATAGGACTTATTTTAGCGACAAATATAATCCTAACCATTGACCTAGCTTGAAATTATGCATGGATGATTTAATATCAAATACTTTCAAAACTTGGTGACCCTCAAACGCCCCCCCCCCTTCTTCCTAAGCTTATGATATGATAGTAGTTTTTTATGTGAAAAGTGTATGCGCAAACAGAGGTTTTTATCAGGTGAGGGGGGGCATTTTTCATCTACGAGGGAGTTCAATAAGTAAGTATACCCCCTTTGTAAAATCTATGAAAATGAAACAATTTTAGAAAACTTGGGCTTAAAATCTTCCTTAGGATATATTAAATTCAACAAAACAAACCGCAAAAAAATCGAATCACGTGTGGCCGATCACGAGCCGTTTGAACTCGCCGTTCCCGCCAGATCGGCATCCATCTTAGCTAGGTGTTCCGTTATTACCTTTCTAAGGTAATGATTTGACTTTTCCCTGCGAGTAGTTCAAACAGTCTTAATTGATCATAATATCACGGTGAACACATGTGACACGTGTCAGTGATGAACGGCTGAGCTTCAGAAAAGAAGCTCCTCTTTTGTGACCTCTCTCGGACCTGAAATCCCGGCGGGAATGAAACGAAAAATCCAAAGCGCGCCTAGGTGCGCGCCGTGGCACACTGCGGCGTGGCGGGCGGCTGGCCAACTCCCAACGCGCATTGACGCCTACAAACCTGAGGGGATACTTCAAGCATTGCACAATGCGTGAAGTGTTCTCTTAGGTTTGAAGGCGTTAGTGTGCGGCCGCGGCGCGTTTAAACGGCTTGCGATCGGCCGCACGAGGTCCGATTTTGTTGCGGTTTCTTTTGTTGAACTCAGTATATCCTAAGGAAGATTTTAAGCCCAATCTTTTTTAAAATTGCTCACTTTTTTAGATTTTAAAAAGAAGACACTTAATTGTTGAACTTACCTCGAAAAATTTTAATTTTCAACATCAACGGTTAAAACAGAAGAATGTTGCGAGAAATGTAATCTCCGTATCCTGATCCTGATTGAATAATCACATTGGATATCAGCGTAAACTACCGCACAGGGTACGGTTTTTATTTTACCGAAGTATACCTCTTTTTATAAGTCTCTGGAGGGTACTGTATTGATGGTACAAGTCTTATGCTTCTTATTTTTATTCTTCTTCTTCTTATTCTTTTCAGAGGACGGTGTCAATTACTATCTCGTGCGAAATACATATGGTAAAGATTGGGGTCCTTTAGAGGTGAGTAAATGGACTTTATTTTGCAGGATCGAACTATTCTCTTCCATAAAAGCACATAGGGAGATTAGTGACTGAATGACACTTACGGTGTTTTTAAATGATGGAATTTAAAAAAAAAAAAAAAAAAAAAAAC